AAGGGCGAGTCTGTTCTAATTCACGCTGCTGCTGGAGGTAAGATATTCCTGGCATCAGGTTGACAAATAACGTATTGATCGCTCACACCAAACTCTAGGTTTGGGCCAAGCCCTTATCCAGATTGCCAAGATGTTAGAAGCAGAGATATACTGCACCGTTGGATCCTCTGCCAAGAAGCAGGCAGTTGTAGCTCTGGGCGTCGAACCGGACCGAGTCTTCAGTTCGCGTGATCTTTCGTTTGCCAAAGGTCTCAAGCGCGTAACGGGAGGTCGTGGTGTGGATGTTGTTGTCAACTCGCTGGCTGGAGAGGCTTTGCGCCTGAGCTGGGACTGCCTTGCACCGTACGGCAGGTTTATCGAAGTAGGAAAAAAGGATATCCTTGGCAATAGCGGACTCGACATGAAGCCGTTTGTCAATAACACCGTCTTTGCCGGCGTGAACCTCGAGGCCATGATGATCGACGAACCTCTCCGCTGCCGGAAGCTAGTTTCAAAGGTACTGAAGCTGTTTGAGCAAGGTGCAATCGACTTTATACGACCAATGACTGTTCGTGACTTCACGGAGGTGGAAAACGTTTTCCGTGAGATGCAGCGAGGAAGTCATATTGGTAAACTGATTCTCCAAGTAACACCCGGATCGCGTGTGCCTATTCTCCCTAGGGCAGAAGTACCTTTGCGACTCCAATCAGACGCAACGTATCTACTTGTCGGTGGCCTTGGAGGGCTTGGCCGCGCTCAGGCCGTCTTTATGGCGGAGAACGGGGCCCGTCATATTGCGTTCATTTCTCGCTCTGGAGATGCACGAATGGAGGCCAGAAAGGTCCTGGACACGCTGAGAGAGGCAGGGGTACAGGCTAAGGCTTATGCCGGCGATGTTGCCGACAAGGTACAGCTGAGGAATATACTGCAAGAGATTTCTCGCAGTATGCCGCCTATCCGTGGTGTTATTCAGGGGGCCATGGTGCTTGCGGATAGTCTTTTCCACAGGATGAGTTATGACCAATGGGTGACTGCCACAAGACCAAAGGTTCAAGGTGAGTTAGAATATCTTGGCTGTGTATACAAAAAAATACTAACACAGGGTCCAGGCACCTGGAATCTCCATGACCTTCTTCCCACGGATCTCGACTTCTTCGTAGTTCTCTCATCCCTTGCCGGCATCATAGGTTCTGTCTCACAGGGAAATTATGCCGCGGGAAATACATTCCAGGATGCTCTAGTGCACTACAGACGACAAAAAGGGCTCGCGGCCCAAAGTCTTGACATTGGCATGATGAAGGGTATCGGCTACGTCGAAGAGCACCACGACTCTCGAGTGAGAACAAGTCAGGTCCGGGTGGTACGTATCATCTCTTTGGTATTCTTGTATTTGCTTGTAATAACAAGATAATTGCAGACAAGCGTTGAAGAGCAACAGTTTATGCACGCCTTGCGATGTGCGCTCTCACGTACAGTCGATGGCAACGAACCTTTGGCGGCGCAGATCCTCATCGGCGCAGGTAGTGGAGGCCTCCAGCAGCTCGTCAAGCAAACAGACGAGAGTGCCGACTTTTACTGGCTACGGTCCCTGGCATCCTTTTCCTATCTACAGCAGATGGACATCCAGAGGCAGGATGCAGCCGCTGGAGATGGCCAGGACGATACTAGCCACCTTCCCACCCAACTCACCCTATGCAAGTCGATGGATGAGGCCAACGATATGGCACAGCAACTCCTACTTAGTAAAATTGCCAAGCACATCTCGGTTCCCGCCACCGATATTAATACGGACAAGCCGATCCACGCATACGGCGTTGATAGTCTGGTAGCAGTCGAATTGCGCAACTGGTTATCCATGGAGCTTAAGAGCGAACTGACCATCTTCGACTTGACGGGCAGTGACCCAATAAGCGAGGTGACGAAGAAGATTGCTAGTAGATCGAAGCTTGTGCCTACAGCTACCAAGGCTACAGCACAAAACGGTTCATAATTATTGCACAGTCAAGCCAGACGTACCAAGAATCGTTTATATATATATATATATATACCTATATATTTCAGGTCAGGAATGGATACTCACTTAATGCTCTTACTTCTGTATAGAATCGACGACGTACGTATGCCCTTGGTCCGTGAAACTCGGCGTCTGAAAATTGAAGATAACATCCCTAGCGTATGCCAGTTCTTGCCGTCGCAGTTTGATGAGATACTATTGACGGGAGTGAAATTTATATTACATGATTTCGTACGATGTATTATTTTTGAAGAATTGTGATAGATGTATCTAGACGTCTGAGTGTCAACACTGTAAACTGAGTAATTAACGTATAGATAATCAGTAGCCACTCTGTTGCAAAGACAACTGCAATCATTTAAAATCAGTTGCTCGAAATAATAGAATACAAAGAATTCAACCTAATATAAGGAGTATTCGTTAGCTTTCTTCTACCAATAGGTTCATCTGTTGCTCAAGAGCGTCCCACACCTCCAGCGACAAATATCCTTCAATCCAAGCTCCACCGCTATGATCTTTTCCAAGTATATGCAGCGCGTCCATGTACGGCATTGGTTCATTTACGTCTTTGAAGATCCAGTTTACCATCGTGCCACTAGGGTTGCTTCGCGTTTCCACGCCCTCTCCTGGGCGCAACACCGCAGGAGCAAAGTCGGTCACTTTCATGATCTCGGCCTTGGTAAAGGAGTTTAACCAAATCATGATGGAGTCTGGATCGCCACATAAACGGATCGCACTTTTGCCTTTGTCAACATGCTTGCTGACCCATTTTACAAAGCTAGCGACTCGTGGCTCTGTCGTTTGCTCCATGACTTGCGCTCGGTGACTCAGAGCGAGCGGTGCCACCGCGCCGCGAGCTTCTTGCGCAGACAACAGCGTATAGGAGAGCATGAGCAGGTTTTGCAAATATACATCATCCAGCCGAAGTAGCTCCTTCAGCCGGAAACGATAGTTAATGATGCTCATGATTGTCACGGGCCTCGGCCTAGGCTGCGACAAGGCTATTTGCCGTGTGATCCAGGCTATGAGTGCATCAACTTCACTTATGTAAAGCTTCTCGTTAACGCCTGTCGCAATTCGAGAGACCTGGTCTTTGATTCTCTTCACTAACATGTCATACTTCACCTTGGGGATGTACATGGCTCGCAAGACCTTGGCAGGGCCAGTAAGCTTCTCCCATCCCGACCGACAGATAAACTTGGCTAACCGGAGGTTGCGCAGACGCCCTTGACTGTCCAAGAGCTTTTCCTGGTCCGAGTCGCCAGGAGGCAAATGAGAAAGGATATCATGACGAGCTCCTGCTACAAGAGGCACCTTCTCCACTTGACCGGCCATGACGAGTGACCAGCTCCTTAGCAACGCTGCCCAACCGACACCGTCCATCGCTGTGTGTGCCCAAGCAAAACCGACAACCGTGGCATCGCGGAACGAGTGGACATGTAATGAGATCTGGGGCAGGTCGGCTGCGATCAGGGCGTCTAATGACGTTGGGAAGTCCTCGCGAACTTGTAGTGTACGGAATTCAGCACTTTCTGGCAGGGTCTGTATGGACGGGTCACCCGTGCGTGTTGGAAGCCGTTTGGCTACCGGATGGTCACTGATCTTCATATGGGTCAGACAGATGTGTGTGTATGTTATAGCTGGTTGTTCGGCCGTAAACTTTGGCGGGACTTGTATCTGAAGGCCGCCGTCGCCCTGGGGGAGAGATCAGTAACATCGCCCATTCACTTGTCATGTCTATATACATATACGGTACTTACGCCTCTCTTTAGTCGACCTCCCAATTTCCTCCAGTCACCAATCTCAAGTAACCTCGACAAGGAGTCGTTAAGCATGTCGGTATCAAGCACGTCATTGAAAAGCATGATCATCGCCACGAACGTTTGGCACTCTTTAATGTGATCTACCGTATGCACTGGATACATGTCTGGCTCATTCACCGGGTGCTTTAGCTCGTCGATGGGGCCTCTCGTTTCCTCAGCTCCGAAGAGCCACTCTCGCACATAGTTCATCTCTGTATGTAGTATCTGATGGGTAAAGATTACTGTTCTTTCGACAACGGCCGTTCCTGAACAAGGTCATGAAACGGAAAGTGCTTTTGCGCGAATCGCGGTTTGAAATGGGTAGTTCCACAGAATTTGATCAATTAGAAGGTATGGCGAGAGAAATGCACCTAAATAATAACGAGAGAAGGTTTTCCCCTGGCATTTTCGCCGGCACCCAAGGGGGTCAGCATTCGCGGCTAGGGGCTTGGAAGTCAAGGGAGAGTCTGAGGCCCTCGCCTCTCTACCGTGTTGTTTACATGATAGGGATTGCAAGGGGTCGGAATTTTAGAATGACGTGGTAGAAACTTTACCACGTGAAGAAGGCAGATATTGACTGTAATCTGACATCTTTGTAGCTTCCATCATACAATACTAGATTTTAAAATAATCCCTCCTAGAATGATCAACGGGTTGGGTTCCGGTTCAAGATGTATCTCCAGTACGGAAGTCACAATATAAGAATAATGTAAGAATATACTTGATTAAACTATACATTATACCCCCCCGAGATACATCTTTTAGCACTAGAATTGGCTACAGCATCCTTATCGGCACCTTTACGGTTTTATAAGGAACTTAACAAAGGTTACGACAATTCTGCATTGTGACAATGAAGCCCAGCAAGGGATGGTAGATCATGGAACACAAATGACAGGCTAATATGGAATGGTATCTCCAGTAATCCTAGGAGGGCAGCAAAGTGTCAGTACGTGCAAGTCAATACGAGTCTCTGCAACTACACTTGGATATATACAGCCTGTCGGGAATATCGTTCACCCTTATTGATTATAGTGCGTGGAAGTACGAGCCATCCGCTGTAGAAAACGGACCATGCTATTTTTGTTTGTTTGTTTCTTTCTTTCTTTCTTTCTTTGTTTTTTGGATTCAACATTGATAACAAGCTCCCCATATATCCCGTCGACAACATTTATCTTGCACGATCACTCTATGCGATTCAACGGTCAAGCGCCCTTCCACATAAAGCCCCACCGCGAAAGATCGTTTGTTCTGCCGCTATCTTCATGCGTTTTCGATATGTTCAGAGTAGCTACCACATTTTTGATCGGTTCGCCTTTCTTGTCAAATTGACGCCGTGTGAGCCTAGCTTGTTTGACGGCTCCAAAGAGACCGGATGACTCGCTGAAAATAAGCTCAATTTCTTCCAGGGAGCGATTCCTTGTCTCCGGAAAGCAACAGTAAGCTATGACCATGAAAAACGCGCTACAACACGCAAAGATCAGGTATGTTCGCCAGCCTATATTGTTCAAGGCGATTGGGGTAATCATGACGACTATGAAGACAGAAGTCCAGTTGGTCGCTGTAGACAGAGCATTGGCTTGCACACAGGTTGCTAGAGGTGTGATTTCCGCAGGGTAGATCCAGGGGATCTGCGCAAATCCAAGCCCGAAAGATATCATGAATATGAGGACAAAGACAGCAGCAACAATACCTGAGGTGTAGTCCCTAATTTTCTCGGTCACTGCAAGTGCGATCATTGACATGCCCATGCCCCCGAGATTCAGTAGCATGACATGTCGCCGACCGACATACTTGATCAAGGGAATCGACCCCATTGCGGCGATAAATCCAGCGGTGCCCGGGCATCCGGAGAGAACCCGGGAGACAAATGGTGTCAAGCCGATTTCGTTTTGAAAGATTGGCGTCGCATAGAATGTAATAACGTTAATCCCAGAAAATTGGCTCATAATCTGAATACTGATCGCCATGAGGGTTTGAGTACGCGCCCTCGTAGGCCCTTCCCGAAAGACTGCGAGCCAATATGTGGAAGCTTCGGCTTCGATCGTAGCATCAATAGCGTTCAGGTTCTGCAATATAGCCTCGTCTCGATCTGGGAGGTCGTATAGAGCACCGAGAACTTCTGCAGCTTCCTCTCGTTGGCCCTTGAGTACCAACACCTGGGTGACTCCGGCAGCCAAAGGATAAGTCCCATAACAAAAAAGGCAAACACCAACTGCAATGCGATGGGGAATCGCCATGCAGCCGGGCTTGGCTCTGCGTAGGAAAGACCAAAGTCGACCCAGTAGCTGACCATGACCCCCGCCGGCACAAGTGAGGTTCCGATTGCCATGATCGGTCCTCTCTGGTGTGGCTTGGTACACTCGGCTTGCCAAACAGGCACAGTTGCAGTGTTCAGCCCGGTCCCTAGCCCACATATGACCCGGCCGATAATAAACTGTACGAGAGTCGATGCAGATGCTTGCAGTATCGCACCAATGGACACAATTAGGCATCCCAGAAAGATAGGCCTCCGTCGCCCGAAGCGGTTGCCGAGCTTAAACGTGGATAAGGCGCCAGCAAGACAACCCAAGTTATAACAAGCAACGACAATGCCTGGTTCCAAGGTCACTACCAATGAAACGATTGCCGACGCTCTCACATACCTTGAGTAGTGGATCGGGTGTCTTTCTCTGCAAATGTCATCCCTTCAAGACAGGATGCAGTAGTGCAGAGGGTAGGGAAGGTGTTCGTAAATGAAGGTAAATTCAGAATTCCCCCAACTACCCCTTGGTCATAGCCAAAAAGGCTACCAGTTCCGTGAGCGAGAAGGACCCTAGCCGCGGAGCTTTCGGCACTTACAGAAATTCAGCGCCAGCAACCAAGATGATCATGGTGGTCAGGCGAGTGCCTCTCAACCCAAGGAACGCACGCTTCGCCATTGTCGTGGATGGTATTAACACGTGGATTTTGTTGGAGACAGTTGTGATGGCGCGCTTGAATCTTGTGAAGAGTGAACAGGATCATGTTGCTTCAAAGGTGTAGATATATACCAACGTCAGTGAGGTGGATAAGTCCGGGGGTCCCCACTACCCCAGATTATTTTCATGGTCGTTAGATGACCCCAGGCTACTAGGGTATTGTATTTTCCGTGATAGTGCAAACATTCGCTCAGGGACTGGATAAGTCTTCTCCGGAGAAGCAATCTGGGTACAATCGGATATATGCTGCATCTAATACGAGTTCGGTCCTCGGCTGTACGTCAGCTCTCTACTGGCCAACCTTATGAGGTTGTAGTCATCTCTCAGAAGGAGGTCTATCTGTTGAACTATTACGCTTAAGCCAGGGCGAATTGATCAGCCTGAGCGGCCCTAGCAATTTCGGGCTTACGATTGACACTCAATATCAGCGTACATTCCAAGACATCAGGTTAATCCTTTGATCGAACCTATATACCGCATCTGTTCAGCCGGTCCTTGTGGAGGTGACTGCCAGGGATCACCACCTTGCATTTGTTGAAGCATTGGTTGTCCTGAACCGATCCTACAACTAGACGATGCAGGAAATATGCGTGTCACCACAGAAGAGTCTAGTTATATCACCATTAGTATGTAGGAAATGCTTGGGTACATTTCCGTGTCAGAAAATAGGTTAAATATAACAAAAGCAGATTGGCCATACATTAACTTGACTCACCATCTCCTACTGGCCAACAGGGATAATGGCGGCATACAGCTACCTTTCCATAGGGATAGCTAATAGGGTCAACATGGATGTTACGTGGGGAGGTAGGTATTGCATTTGGTATTTTAAAGAAAATGAACTCTGTGTATTCCGTCTATTTTCAGCGATATATATTTCATGTCAACACTGGCCCTTCCCTACTTGCAACGCATCCTGCGCCACAACAAAAAACAAAAAAAAAAAGATAAACAAAAAGAGAAATGAAAACAAACAGAATTCCAGACAGTACCATGGATTTCATATACTTGTAACAGACATCAATAAATAAATACCTGTCAACTTTCCCGATTGTTCAAGTCGAATGCCGTAGTAACAACAAACCTGTGGATGTCCGTGGATTAGACGAATACCGACGGCTGCGCTATACCCAAGGCTAAAGTCCGAGTTACGGAGTAAATCTCATCACTTTGTCACAGACGGAGTGTATGGAGTAAATTCCGCTCATGGCCACAAAGCAGCAAGCGGCTGTGGATCCAGAGGGGTTTACCGACTGGTCCAGAGAGCTTGCCTTCTTCTCCATACCCCAGATCAACGCTTTTGTGCGGAGCTCTCTTCCAAATCGACGTTATCCCACGGTGGGTCGTTTCTAGATGGTTCATTATCCGCAGTGCGCTTGTATTCCCTCTAATCGATTGAGCCATTGCGCTTCAGGAGTGTTTCGCGGGACGCATCCGAGCAAGACAAATATTTGGAGTCATTCGGCCTAGTGTCCCTGACCAAGAACTGCTACATTCTACCACGGTGATTATAGTATCGAGGAACTGGCGTCGGCCGTTTTGTGTGTTGACTGGAATCTATGATGGACTGAACTTGATGCACGCTACTGTTATATTCACCTCCATTTGCTCTACTTGGAGTCCGCTGTTGTCACTAGACTGTGAAGCAAAGCTTCAGAAAGAATATGATAGTCTATGCTGGCAGTTAAAGGGGTCATAGTAGGGTACTGGAATCTACATCTATGCATCGTACACGATTAGGTGGCGAATGCGGCCTGTAGCTTGATTTACCATATACCGCGCAGTCCACGGGGCGCCTTTGAACCCTCCCTGATAGCTACAACATGAAGCCAAGGTTTCTTCTGAATTGGTTTTGATCGTGCCCAGTGTCAGACATTTTCAGTCAGCAACAACCTCCTGGCACGGAAGGAGGTCATACTTGCATCTCTATATCAACCCAATCATTCGGATACGCGAGCCCTGCGTCGTCTGGAAATTCGCCAACTGAGGGAAGATCATAACTCCCACTCGTGATAACAGTTGACTGCACGGCATCCGGAGATGATTCGTCATTTTTATCTCGTTGCTCCGGGAGTAGGTCTGCGCCTATAGTGGGCCAGGGCCCCGATATCTCCATTAAAGAGCTAAACTCGTATTCTATTTGTGGGCTTGGATGGTCCGGTAATATTTCCATGTTGGTGGCGATATCGGGTTGGCTTTTCGACTGCTGTGACACACAAATGAATTTATGAATTCGTTAAATGAATATTCACTCCTGGCCAACGGCCCATGGTGACGTTGAAAAACACTCACACAACTTTCTCATTCGTGGTGATCTTTTGGCCATAGAGGTCGAGTTGAGACTGGCATGTCAACTCTCCACTGGAGCCTTTCTTCAGATCAACTAAAATATCACATATCAGACTGGCCTCTACTATCTTCCATGGCAGAACGATCCTCAGCAAGTTGAATGATGACGGTGTTGCCTGGTTGTTAAACCGACCGAAGAAGCCTTCCATAGCATGAATCAATATCTGCCACTCTTGGCCATGGTTCCAAGCTATTGGCAGCCCTGCTGGTGTAGGATAACAAAGCTTCGTGTGCAAGAAAGCTTGTACGGTGTATAAATTGAGGATGTTTGGTGGCAGAGACGCACAGGGTGTGGAGAGCACATCCGCACCAAGGGATTTGATATGCTGTGGCAGGTTGTCACGCCACGATCTCAGGGCTTTCTTGCAGGCTTTATTCTGTTCCTTCGTGCTGGCAACATTCCAGTCATTCTTGATACAGAGTAGTTCTAAAAGTTTGACAAACACAGTCAGTGTATGCATTGGCGCCGCAAATTCCGACATCGCAGTCCCCACGCCTGGTAACAGCACGTCTTGAAGATGCCACGGTTCCCATTCCTCATTACCCGCTTCATCCATGGGAAGGAATGCCTGAATATCTTTTGATCGAATCCAAGGAGTAGTCTCAGTATGTGCTGATATGAGAGTATCAAGGGCGAAACACCCGAGCCAGGCGCGTCGATGGTAGTCGGTTTGGCACTTGTCGGGCTGATCGAGTTCAATGCGCCTGGCCAGCAAGATGGCCTGTCCAATAATGACGCGGGCGATATTCCATTCGCAGCAGGAATAGTGCACTAATCCAAGAATAAGAAGGGCTTGTACATGCCCTAGCGAATAGTTATCTTCCTTTTCCAGTGGTATGGCCTTCCTAGCAGCTATGTACAGTTGATTTGGATATGATGTGTATCTGGGGAAAAGGGTGTCTTGGTTTATCGAGTGGTCCCGTATCATACTTGCATAGGTCAATATAGCCCATAGCAGTGCAGTCTCCCCAGTATTCCGTTTCCGTACTGAAGGAATAGGTGAGGTTTTATAATAAACGAAAAGGCTTCTGTATACCGTATGGCGCTCAACTATCGGTAGCCAGCTGTGTACCAATGAGAAGTATCGGCTCAGCAGCTGTATTGGATTTCGTGGAAGCTGGGGTAATACATCTTGCGATGCCTGATCGGAAAGTATGGATCCCTCCTGATTCTGCTGGGTAGCAGGACTGTCATTGCCGCTTGTTTCCCTTCGAGCCTGTCTCGAACATTGCAGGCAAGTAACTCCAAATGTGGTGTTAAATTGGCTCTGAGGTGTTGGAGGAGGAATATCAAGGGAGCTCCAAGTAAGGTTGATATCTTTCCCCTGTGTAGATAGATTCAATGGTGGCGTTGTCAGGTCGTCATCATCCATATTGTCATGGGCCGATAGTAGACCGTCTATCGCGTGGGGAATTTTGCTCGATTTCCAACTCTCCTATGGTGTCTCCCCACCATTGAGACCATCCTGTATGTCCTCTTGGATCCAGAAGCGCCTCGCCTAGGTGTTTGCAATGAGCTTCTCGACAGTAGTCTCGCTTCCTTCGACTGACTGAAAGATTAACCCCATCAGACATTCTAGAGCACGAACATAGCCCGTTCGAAGGCCCCGTCGTCGAATCGCCGTCCCGTATGAGCACGGCTTATCGGCCCTGATGCATGTATCGCATTGGGGCAGGGCTCCATTACACTTGAGCTTGCCGTGGCGGCATCGATCACAAGCCTTGGATACTCTTCGTCTTTTATGACGGCGTGTTCGCTCGTCCTCGTCAGTTGCCGGCATGCTTTCAACTGTACTCTGGTGTGTCTCCCTATGAACGGTTAGATTGACCTAAGCTGGCTCACTGTTGCTATTTCCTGAATTGGGTGCAACCATTCCGTCACTGCCGTCCTAGGAAGCTCGCTGTTTTCTGGATCTGCAAAGGCTACGCTCATTACATACTTGTCACTCCTTCAGCGAATATAGTCGCATACTCCGCTGATCCAATGAGGTCACAGATCAGCCATGTCCCCACGTTCTCAGCAGTTGCGTCTGGTCAGAAGAGATACGGTAAATCACTATATCCGAAACCTTGCACGAAATCACAACTTGTTCGAGGGCATGCTGACTATGCTCACGGACCCTGGCTTCGGAGGGGCTAGTTAGCATGGCTTTGAAGCAAGTGCATTGTCCTAAGCTTAGAAGCTGAGCCCGCCCTGCCACGAAGCTCATCGGTAGCTCGAGTAAGGACAAAGATCGTACTGAACCGCCCGCACTTACATAACTATGTGACCGACGGTCTAATTCGTGATATCTACAGATAACGTTACTGTATTACTCTCTTCTTTCTTGTCCCAGACTTCTAAGCCGAATTAATTTACACATGAGGTACTCAATGGATTCTCAATTCCAGTATATATTCGATCGCTGTTACGGGTGACTGGAAAAGATATGAAAGGGTGAAATCCCAAGCAAGGACGCAAGGAATCGATATCTAGCATCCCTTATTAAGGACACTATTCTGCCCATATTGTAACGATCCATCTGCCAGTCTATTGTTTCATTAGGGCTGTCCACCGATACATACGATCTCGATGGGAGTAGTGGAGTATGCCGGGCGGGTAAAGCAGAATAACCGCCCTACACCATAAACCTAACCACGGATAAAACAACCCCCACAGGGCACTAAAGGAAAACGAAGTTCTTAGCCGTGGGGTTTAGCGCTGCACGGAGACTCTTCCGCTGCTTAGTGAGGTGAGTTGTATGCTAGACCTACTTGCGAATGGTAGGTGGCATTCCTGCTGACCTTGCGGTTTTCGTGTCTGTGTGTAGTCTGAAGCGTTTGGAACAGGAGACTACCGTATGCACGTTGAATTTGATAGAAGGGCAGGTACATATAAGTATGTTCGTGTTTCATCTTTCCTCGAAAAATTCCCCATCACACCTTGCTTCAGCATGTCGCAACCTGTGAGTGATCCAGTGTAGCCCACTCAGGGTAAGCTTCTCATCACAGGCTTTTAGACTCACAATCGCGTCTTCAACCATGTGGCCATCTCAGTTCTTGACTGCAAGGCAGCATCAGAGTGGTACACTGAGGTATTCGGTTTTCAGTTAGTCGGCAATCAAATTCACCACATCGCGCGCAGCGAACGGCCGGACGATCCCATCTTCAGCATTTACCCCGCGTCACTAAACGAAGTCAAGATGGCCTACATGACCACTGGGAATGGCGTCGGTTTTGAGATCTTCGAGTTCTGCGATCCCAAAGCATATGTACCGGAAACGGCATTCGAATATCACAGAGGGGGCTTCTTCCATGTTTGTGTGACTGACTCAGACCCGGACTCTCTCGCTGCTAAGATGGTTCAAGCAGGAGGGAAGAGGATTGGGTCCACTGTACACCCGGTGAGAGACGTGGTCTGTCTGTATGCCGCTGATCCATGGGGGAATGTTGTGGAGATACTCGATGCTAGCTTTGACCGAATGGCCACTATGGCGTCAGCTGGGAAGAGATGATCGCAGAGTGAGGAACAGTCGCATGAAGGTTCCTGATATGCCAACAGAACTGCTCTTCAGTGGTCGTCGTGTCTGGAAATTCAATCATGCCGGAATATGTCAGATTTCAAATATGGATTAGTCTTTAGGCTCATGAGTGGATTATCGTGTATTTTCGTTCCCTACGGTGTTTGTCGCCTCCTTACCTTCTGTGTGCCATCTGAAGAATGGATATAAAGGTGAGAGTGAGCAGCTTCAGCAGGGAACGAGAGAGGCTTGGCAGTTACGACTGATGTTAGATAAATGAATGTACAATCTGGTTAAAACAAATGATGAAATGCTGTACATTGAGGCCTGTTCCGGCCTGGACTTAGATACCAATCTCCTGCCTTGAAGAGGGTATAACGTCAATTATACACGCTTAAGCACTATTAACTACTTCTACTATGACACAGTCCCAGGCCATGAAGACCAAAAACTAGAGATGGTCTACCTAATATGTCCTCATCAACCCCGCATCCCAGCCAAATCCCACGCCTTTTCCGGCGTCGCTTCCTGCAACCCACTCACATCCCAAACCTGTACCCTCTCATCCCAATCAATACCAGAAGGAAAGTACTGCTTAGCAGCTTCGGCAGGACAAAACTTGACAGTCCGCGTCGTTGGTACACTCTCATCGTCATTGAGAATCCGTAGCAAGCTTGGCTGTTTGTACAACGACAAGGAACATGAGAGATCCTCACGTAAAGCCCTTAGCGAAAGAGCGTTCTTGTTCCCATCTTGGACCGGCAGATTGTCCCATCGCAGACGAACAATCGCTGCAACGCGACAGAATGTATCTGGGCCAATGACTGGGAGGACATATGCCTCCGAGATGTATGCGAGCTCGCTGAGTCGCTCCTCCACTTCGGAGGTTAGGACTTTGTAGCCGAAAAATCGGATGACTATATTAGATTAGAATAACAGAAAAAAAATAAAATTCAAGTCTTGGATTCGGCTTACCGTCACTTTTTGCCCGACCCTCAATCACGTAGTCCTGGCTGTCAAGGTACGCGAGGTCTCCAGTTTTGAAGAAGCCTTCGTCGTCAAACATGGCCATGGTCGAATCGGTATCGCCAATGTAGCTATTGCGTGGCATGAGCAAGCGTAAGGTCACAAGACTTGGGGGAGGCCACTTACTGGGAAAAAACGTATGGGCTCTTCACCAGCAATTCGCCATGCGTTCCCTGCGACAGTTTCACGGTCACTCCTGGAACTGGCTGTCCGATTACTCGTTTCTGCCTGGCGTCAATCTCCCGGTCTGGGTTGGATGGATGGAAATGGATACTCACGTCTGCTGGACTCCCACCGGATGTTTGCAATGGCGGTAACCCAGTCTCGGTAGTATTATAGACCATGTCCAAGCCATGGTCATTGCGGAGATCCTGCCAAAACTGCTTCACGGCTACGCTTGGCATCCCACCGGTGCATTGAGCAATCCGTAGCCCCTCAGCTGCCCTCATATACTCGTGTACTACCTCAGGAGGAAGCAGTCTAATTTTGTCCTCAAAGACCTTCATCATCCCCTGCCACACAATCGGCTGACACGCGAGGATGGTGATATCGCCCTCGCGCAGCCGATTCCACAAGAGGTCTGGCTGTGATCCGGGAGCGAAAATCTCCAGGCGCACGCCATTCGGCAGCATCGACAGGAGCGGACGTGAACCTGCCACCCAGAATACGGGACGGTGGATCAGGATGACGTCGGTATCCAGGGCGTCGCAGGATTCAGCTAACCCGTAGAGCAATTTTCGGGTGTGGACGACGGCTTTCGGGGGGCCAGTGCTGCCCGAGGTGAAGAGGACCAGGGCGGGTTGGCACGACGGAAAGCTGAAGGTTCTCGCAATCGAATACTTGGCGTCGTGTGTGGTTGGGACGCTCTGTTGGACTTGAATTGCAACTTGCTTCATGAACGCCGCGTCCGTATCGTTAACACTTTTTGTCTGGCTGGCATACTTCCTAATGCTCGCGGCCAGATCTTCCATCTCGGGTGCTACCAGCAAGCACGCTGCATCGCACTTGTTGTAAAGATACAGTGCCTCCTCTGGAATTAAACCCGTTGCTATTGACCATGTCAGCCAATTCCGTCATATAAAGTCAATGAAATGAACCTATCTTACGCAGAACAACCGCAGCAGCCCCAATCGCCGCTATTGCAAGCAATGCAAGAATACATTCATAACTCACTGGCGTCAAGATACATATCTGCACCGATTGGCCTCGAACGACTCCTTTACTCCTATCCACGATACATTCTGGTAGGGTCTCACAAAGTGTTTGCCGCAGGACCGATACATCCTGGAGCAACTGTGTGTAGTCGGCTTGTACGTGACGCGCTGGATCATTGACCACGACCCGATCGGGGTAGCGGGCTGCTGTGGACAGCAGTCTCGTGAAAAAGGGGTCATTGGGGAATCGCCGGTGGACTTCCAATGCTGGATGGTGTCGGGGAGCAGGAGTGGATAGAGAGAAGATGCTTTTCACATAGTTGACGATGTTTATATCAATCGAGGTCCAGACTTGTTTGAGGCCCCACATCACTTTGGCACGCAGGATCTGTAGCTTAGCGAATTATTTCCACCGTAGTCTCCGGTCGGCTAGTTAAGGAGGCAACCTTCGCTAGCTAACACTATTGTTATAGTTAACTAGCTGATGTTGGGATTACCTAAGAAATTGAGACGAATGTTTACAGCATTGCTTGCATGTACAGCCCCTTTACCGAAATACGCTATAGCATAGCTTCTAAATAGTCCAGCTACACGAGATCTACTTCCTATTAGTAGTACTCAATTCATATCCTCCTCAGCTGAAGCCCCACCCTGTGGGGACCTTCCAGATTGGCGGTATTTAGCGCAGTGACTTGGTTTTCGAATCTCGAGAATCGAGACGAACCGCGCCGGAATCGGGAACTCCCCGAGATTACGACAAGTTAAACTCGCGAGGATCGACACCAGACTTGACTCGATCAGAAGAACAACAAGACAATGAGTACCCTGTGCATTCATGTTACAAGCAAATAGTAAAGCATAGAGGGTGGTGAAAGGTGCCGGGCTAACTCCTCCAGGCTGTTGTTGTTAATTCCTGTCACACTACGGTGCACCTCCAAGTCACTGGGGATTTGGTATGGATCCGATAGCTATATTGACCGACAATGCAATGATAGACTATGAAACAAGGAATCAGAAGCTCAGTCCAGACGAGCCCATTTTGTTCTTGTACAGCAAATCAAAGGCTTCACTTTGCGCCACCGTAAACTGGTCCTTCCACGAACCACTTTTGCCTCGACGGAAATGCTCGCCGTGGCTCAACTCCTTAATTTCACCCAAATCAGTGAACCCACTGGCCTTCATGGCCGAGAAACTGATTTTCCCCTTAATACCATCCAGCCTGTCCGGCGTCATCTCAACACCCAAAAACGCCGCAATCTTGCACACTTCCGCCTCTGGGTCCCTCTTCAAGTCCTCATATGTGAGAAACAAGATATTGTCGGCATGGCGATGTTCCCACCAGCTCAGAACATGGTCGAACCAGTCGCCACGGTGACACTGGCCGTTCATAAACATTTCCAGCCAGTGGTCCCACTCGCCGGAATAATACCCACTCCAGCTTTTTTGGCGGTCGAAGTGGAAACAAGACACGCACGTGTCCTTGGGATTGCGCGCAATGTAAATGTATTTGCAAGGATTTTGCTCGGGAACTCCCCCCAGCGCCATGTCGTATGGCATATGCGAGGCAAAAATCCGCGGCCGAGGCGCGTTCTGCACTTCCTCTTCGGTCCGCTGATACAACCATCCACTTTCTAGCCAGTGGAAGGAGTCTCGCAGTTTGTCCTTGTCGCCGTCGCTACCGGTCAGAAGAACCAGGATATACGACAGCCATGTGGAGCCGGATCGTGGCCACGACACGAAGCAGATATCTGTTGACTCTGTTTTGAACCGGCGAGTCATCTCGTAGCGCTTGGGCCCAATAAATGGAGGCACGACTCGACCGTCCAGAATGCGGTACTTGTAGCCATGTTCACCAATCTGAAGGTCCTCCAGGTTTTCGGCATGCTCTTCGTCGTTGTACTCTAGTACAGCGAATTTGTGCGATTTGGTTTCATTGTGGGAGGGATGGCTGTCGTTGGTTGCTGATGGCATTGTAGATCCAAGTTATCTGGTCGAGCACACAGACAAAGGCAGATTGAGAAAGTGGTGAAAGAAGGTGTCCATCTCTGGACGGAGCTGAATTATATAGAATATTTACATAACACTGTGGGTAAACCTGGAGATAAGATTTATCTCTAGGGTGACAATCCATAAAGTAAAACAAAAAATACAGAGACAATGTACTGGCAGTACGGAGTACTACGAGTGGAAATAATGAGTAATATTTGAATAGATCATCATTATTACCTTCCTGGAAGTAGGAACGATCTGCCGATAGTGGATATCTGGGACCACAAGGGTTGCCTCTAGTCGAGCAGGAACCACGCCAAGAACGCCGGCTGGGAGTATAAGTGCCACCATTCAGCCGCTGCTGCACGCAGCTTCGGATACCAGATTGTCCTATCGGCATCGTCATGAGTGGATATGATAGCTCCACTACTCGTCACGATCGAAGCGGTGTGCCTTGTGTGAATACGATTTTGAACCGCTCTTTTCCGAGTGAGGTAAACCGGAGTGTACCCCTTACCTGGAGCCGACAGGTAAGAAACTGCTGGGGCAGCGTCCATATTGTGGATAGAAGTGCTCCAGAGTTACGGCAAAGGATGGTCGGTCTAATCCATCGGCTATCCGATAGCGTTTGATGAGTTCACATTGAATCTTCGGATTTTCAGCTCCCCGGGCCAAGCCAGACAGTTTATCATGGCCAAATATCACATAATAAAGATGGACAAGCCCAATTTGTGACTACTATCATACAATGCTCGCAGCTCCCATGCGAACCATGGAGTGTAATAGCATTCCCAATTTGTCAGACTACGGCATCAGCCCGGGGTTAGGGTTTCTGCCCGCCGAAGCTTGCCTGGAACGGCTTCCTCATCCTTACTATTCACCATGGGAGAAGCTGGTTGCATGCCTACCAGTGTTGCATGAGAAGCAAGAACTACGCGCCCACATCGAACAGCTGCCCATATTAACAGTATCATGGTTGGCGAGCCTCGAGAATGGAGGCGCGCGTATGTCTGTCTTGTGTTTATGCTACATGGGTATATTTGGGGAGGAAGCCAGCCACGGACGGTAAATGGTGCCAACTCCTCCATAACATAGTATCTCTGGACTGACCAGGTGTTCGAAGATCATCCCCCCATGTATCTCCATCCCACTCCTGGCCATCTGTGACCGCCTCGAAGTACCGCCCATAGCAACATTCGCAGGCCTCTGTCTGTGGAACTACCGACTAATCCGACCCGATGAACCAACCCATAACCCGGAAGACCTCCTTGCCACAGCCACGTTTACTGGAGACCCCGATGAGGAGTGGTTCTATCTCATCTCCGTGGCGATTGAGGCGCGAGGAGCACCAATGATCCCAGTGATGGTGCGCGCAATTGCCGGGACCCATGTCGAAGACACCCAAACAGTCATGACGTGTCTGTCCGCATTGCGCGATAGTCTACAAGAGTTGGGAGACCTTCTCGATCGGATGTATGAACGGTGTCAGCCGGCCGTCTTCTATCATCGTTTACGGCCCTTTCTCGCCGGTACCAAGAGCTTGGAACAGTACGGTCTCCCCGATGGCATTTACTTTGATCTTGGGACAACAAACGCAAACACCAAAATGGGATCACTGAAGCTGCAATCCTACCGTGGAGGAAGCAATGCCCAAAGTTCTCTAATTCAGTTTTTCGATATCGTTTTGGGGGTGGAACACCCTGCTTCACCTGCGGCTGGCGGAACAACGCAACAGAGCTTCCACGACGAAATGCGCGGATACATGCCTGGTCCGCATAGAAGGTTTCTCGCAGATATAGCCCGAGTGGCGAGGGTCCGAGAATATGTCCACGCCTGCCGAGGGTCACATCCGGATCTTGTGGCTGGTTATGAGTCCTGTCTGCAGATGCTTAATAGGTTACGCGCGAAGCACCTCCGCATAGTCTCTGACTATATCATTAAAGAAGCACGAAGAGGGAGTGTGGATGGTAGTCATAACTCGGGGGCAGTACAGCCTGCGTCTAGAGCCAAGGCTGCGGATCGAAGGTTTCTAGGCACCGGCGGCACGGATCTCATTCCATTTCTAAAAAGGACCATCGATGAGAGCGTCGAGCCTTTGCGGAAGCTGGGTGTGCGCGGACAGCGACGGACTACGAATCGGGTATAGAAATCGGGAAAGGCCGCCTTCCTATTAATGTAGAGATATAAATAGATTTAAATGGGTGTGTATGTGTGTCCTTCTATATCATTTCTTATGAGGTACTATTACTTAAACCAGCCCAATCCCACGCCTTGCGTGACCCCGTCTGTGCAGTATTCTCGTCCCAAACCTCAACGTTCGACAGCAATTCAAAGTCCTGGGAAGTAGGAAAGAATTGGCCAACCGCTTGCTTCCGAAGAAACTTACCGCTGACTGCTGCCTTTGGAATTTCCTCGCCGGTTTGCAGAATGCGTAGCACCGTGGGAAGCTGATACGCTGCCAGCTTGTCTGAGAGATCGGCCCGAATAGCGTTCAGGTTCTTCTTGCCTGCTGCTTCTGGGCTGTCATCGACGAAGCGGACCAGCGCCGCTACTCGGCCGGCAGTTCGGGGGTCGGGCACGGGGAGAATACAACCTCGTGTATGTAGGGGAGCTCGTTGATGTGGATTTCAACTAGTTGGATGGGGACTTTGTAGCCGTAGTAACGGGCGACTGTTGAATTAATTAGTTCAGGCTCATTCCAATTGACTAGTGGCTGGTAGCTTACAATCTGTAGAAGCTCGACCATCGAGGACGTAATCGTCACCAACGCGATGTGCGAAGTCACCTGTCTTATGGAATCCTTCGTTGTCAAATGCGGCGCGGGTTGCCTCCTCGTCGTCGAGATACCCTGAGAACAGAAATGGGCTCTTTACAAGAATCTCTCCGGAATCACCTTCAGAGAGTTTTACCATGACACCGGGGCGTGGCTTGCCGATGCAACGCTGAAATAAAACCATGAGCAGGAGACCAGAATATGAGAGTGAGCTTTGAAACAAGAAGAATAGATGAAGAAGAAAACAATAAAACTTGCCTCGAGATCAATGTCGGACAAATTGTCCGTCTCCATAATTGGAGAAGCGTGTTCTGTGCTCGCATAGCAATTTTTCAGCGGCCAACCGAGCATCTCTCGCCAGAAGCGCAGAACTGAAGGTGCTGTAGCAGAGCCGCTGACCCGTGCAACACGCAAGTTCTGGATCCCACGGGTGTATTGACTGAGTTCGTCTTTGGGGAGCTGGCGGAGATGTTCTTGGAAGTACTTAGCCATGCGCGACCACACTGGCGGGGTGCAGGAGACGATGGTCACGTCGCCTTTGCGCAGACGCTCCCACAGGGCTTGGGCGAGGTCGTCCATTGCCACTTGCTGGAGGGTTTCGACCCGAGAGCCGTTCAGCAGTTGCTTGAGTGGAGGCATTGCGCCGGCAACCCAGTGAATCGGACGGTGACTGAGAAAGACCTCCCCTGAAGGATTCTTGGGCGAGGAGTGAAAAAGACGCCGGGAGTGGACTGCTCCCTTCGGCGGACCAGTTGAGCCTGACGTGAAGAGGATCATACTGGGATGATCCGGCGGAATGGTCAATGCTTCATCGATGACAGGGACGACGCCCGGGGTTTGCTCCGTCGTGATAGGGACCACAGTGACTTCCAGGCCTTGATATGCCGCATAGATCTTGATCTCCTCGGCACGGTCCATGCATTGGGAACCTGCTAGAATGCAAGTAGACGTGCATCTTTGTAGGAGATAGTGCGCTTCCTCTGGCATTATGCCCATTGCTTCATCTTGCCGTTAAAACACTCATCGTTGGAACAAGGATACATGTCCAGAGAATACTTACAAGTGGGCACCACCGCCGCACCGAGACTGAGAGTAGCAAATGCAGCGACAAAATACTCGTAGCCTCCTGGTGCAATCACCAACAATGACGGCATATTGCCAGCGACAAGAGCTTTCTCGTTGAATTTGGTCTTCGGCAACGAATCGTATATCGACCGTCGCATGGTCATCATGCTTGCCAGAAGCTGTGCCGCATTTGCTTCCACACCCGACGCTGAATCATGGATGACAACATGCTGGGTGTGCTTCGAGAGGTGTAGAAGCTGTGCAAAGAGCGGCTCATTTGGAAGAGTGGTCTGTTGGTTCATTATCATCACCTCTGCCTCTCGAGGTCAAAGTGCTATAGCTCTTTCTTGCTGTATCGAGTAACACAGCTGAATCAGAAATAAGTTTCACAACTAACTAACAACATTCCCAAATTATGTAATTTAGTGGATTAACTAACTAGTTAACTAGTACACTAGATTGAAAAGTCTCTTTATGACCGCTTCTAGCCTCTAGAATTAGATAACCGAGGAGTGTCGATCGAACCCCACTACTCAGCTCATTTTACCGAAACCCATCGGTTTAGAGAAAGTTTCTCGCTTCAGCTGGAGAGTTTCACCACTGTGATCGAATCGGCGTGGTCAGGTATAGACTCTGGACGGAGTACGGGGTATTCTCATACGCAGCTGAATTACGGATCATATTGTTACCCCTGTCGGACTAGGTGGCCAGTTAGCTATCTTGACTAGATACAACTTGGAAGGGTTTGTGAGAAGTCGTGCCGCTAGTGGAGTGTATTACTATTTGTAACATGCATACAATTCGGTTTGTAGACCACCTATATCATCATTCAATGGTTGAAGGAAGATTACCACTTGATGAGGGTGCCATCTGAGCCAAATTTCCCTCTTTCAAACTAACCTGCTTCGCTTTAGGGATCTCAGGTCTTGTGCGGGCTGACCATGTGGAGACAGTTACCGAAGATCTTAAGAGCAGCACCAGCATGGAGTTATTGCCACGTCCTATCGTTTTGGCCTCTTCCATATTAATTATGGTTGGAAACTCAGGTACTGTACACGCGGTGATACGGATTGGGCAGCATCCTACGTTATTAGCAAACTAGATTGCTGCAGTGCCAACAATGCATGCCAACCATGAAGCAAGTGACATCCTCCATGGGCATAGAAAGGGGGGACGTGGTAAATAAAATGGCTGGCGCAATGAAAATGTGGTGCACTCCATATTGCCCTGGCTTGTTCAAAGCCGGCGCTGCAAATACAAGGATGCGGTCACCTGGCTTGAATTCATCCTCTGCCTTCTCTTGATTTAATATCAGTTCCAAAAAAAGTCGTATCCTGCAACAGTGTTGTTGAATGCAACCCTCACATGGTTGTTCGGCCGGGTTTATGCCGGAGAGCTTAACCACCACATGAACCTCATTTGAGAGGGGCTTGTAGACTTCGTCCACTGTGTAAATGTACGGTTCGCCATTCTGGTTGGTGAAAATCTCCCGAGTAGTTGGCATTGTTTTGTTGATGCATCTCGACCAGGGGGCTTTTCCGTGTGGCTATCAGGGCACGTCGTAAAAGCATCCAAGCCAGAGCATATATAAAATATCATCATAAACTCTGGCCTCGAGCGAACAGGTATAAGCAAAAGCTGGTGTGGGAGGTAAAAGACCCTCTGTTTCTGTTCGGAAGTCGATATTCGGTTTTCTATGCCCTCGGCCTCATCAACTCAGGTGGAATTCATAAGAGTAGCAATCAAGTGCCTGCAATGATTACAATTTCAAAGTCTACGTATTCGACATTCTCACAAAGATAAGTATACCGGGTTCCGGACATTGTGAATAAGACAAATATCAATTATTCCTATCTAAAAAATTCTATCTCCACAACTACCGATCTAGCGCGGAGCACGTACAGATTGTTATTCACACAATGGGCTAGTAGACTAAAGATTCTGTTTTCCTATGTCTAATAATGCCTATATTCAGCTTAGTAGTAAATTGCTACTAATTTTCTCAACGAATGGTGGCTATATGAGAACGTTGGTTGAATATATATTTTAGTCTTCTGGGGGCCGTTGAATGGAATGCTTGGACATCCAACTTATGAGCCGGCTGACCAACTTACGACGATCGCTGTCAATTCTCACTAGTATTTTTTATCTTACTTGGAGAGTCTGGTCGGATTAACCAGGGGTGTGGCTGTTCGAGTCCAAATTCTATCCGTGGACTTTGTTATACGTTCTATGACTGAAATAATCGGCCAACCGCTTCGTCAACGGTCTGTTGTTCAGTATATCTATTGCCAAGACAATCAACAAACGACGACCAACCTCCTTAATTACCATGCTCATTACTCTATCCTGTAGACAAGGGGCCCCTTGCGTCCACGCGGTACCCATGCAACGAAGATGATAACTAATAACTCGCTCATGATTGGAATGTCGACGCGTCAGGAATGTTGCACATCGTCGAAATAGACGTCATTGTTCCAACTGCAGCTCCTATGAATATGTTTATCTGGGCGCCTCTGATTACAGTCTTCCATTCTGTCACCTCACACCATTGTTCCAACATGACAATAAGAAACGCCATCCTCTCTACCTTCGTGGCCGTCGGTACATGTATACTAGAACCCCTTCCACCTGCCTGAGGAGATATCTGACAATACTCCGCCAGTCTTGCCCAGCTGCCACGCACAAGCGCCTGAGGCTGTTGTTTACAACGACCCAGCTACAGGAATCACCTTCGATACATGGAATGTGCCCTCGAGCTCCAAGGCTGGTGGGCTAACGTTCGGCGTAGCTTTGCCTAGCAATGCACTGAAATCAGACGCTACTGATTTCCTCGGATACCTAGTAAGTCTGCCTTATTTTATCTTCTACATGCGACAGCGCAAGCTAATTAGAACAGCACTGTGCGGCCACCGAGGAGTCCGCGGCAAATGGCTGGTGCGGTATCACCCTAGGCGGCTCCATGACAGACGCCCTTTTATTCGTTGCGTACCCAGATGGCGACACTGTGCGGACCTCCCTACGTTTCACCTCGGAATACGCAATGCCTGGCGTATACAGTGGCAACGCGACCGTAAAGCCGATTTCCTCCACTGCCAACTCGACCGGTTTCTCGTTCATCTTCCATTGCCAGGACTGTCTGCATTGGTCGCAGGGCGAGACTACTGGTAGCGCATCTACCAGCAGTGGTCTCTTGGACTTGGGCTACGCACAGTCCGTCAAAGCACCGAGCAATCCATCCTGTGCGACCGAGCTGAAGCTTGTTCGACACGATCTACAGGGCACGTGGACGGCGATGCTTGATGATCATGCTGCGAGCGATTCCTACGAGAAATGGTCGGCCCAAGCAAAGGATGCAGTCCCTGACAAGTGCTCTGCGTAAATATATTATATTGTTTCTTCTCAAACCAGTCGACTCAGTTGGGACTTGTCCACGCGTGTATTTCTCCAGGTTATAGTCGAGCTCGATAGGATTGGTATCAAGGCCAGTCTGGATATACCGTTCGAAAGAAGTAGCAGAGAACAAACTAATGTATCACTTTTCTGTGTGGGGGCTGTTTCTCAACGAAGAATAGGAATAGAACTTTGTGATTTCGTCTCATCGAGACTATGTTCCTGCAGTGGCCAGACATAATATTACTAACCTGAAACCTATTTACAATCACCAAGTCACCAAGTCTGTATGTTATGAGTGGTGGAGTGTTTATTAACGCGCCACTTTTGCTCTGTCTCTTTGGTTTAGGGTTAAGTTCCGCTGTACACAAAATACCAAGCAAAACAAGAGTAAGCATTGCCCACAAATCCACCAGCAGCATCCTCTACCGTCGTAGTCAATTCCAAGATATCCCTCGCGCCGGCGACATAAGATCGGAGGATTCGGATATTAGGAAGCGATTTATTTGTGTTTGAAATGGTTGTATGACTGTTCCCGAACTGGTACATAACCGTTGGCGGATTCAAATATCAGCAATATTTTTTATAAGAGTTATATATACCATACCACAAGTCGATCATTCTATTAATTATCGTTAATAATGATTATTTCCTCGGTGTTTAATATTAATGAAGTGCTTATCATATTAATATTGCTACTGCGACCTTCGTAAACTTGGGGCAACTGCTTACCACTAGACTAGTATCCGCATATATTCACGGTATTCTTTCACCTAGCTTTCATTGCGCTAGCGGGAACAATACTGTATGGAACCTGTTTAAAACATATATTTCGGGTAAGAGCAGTAAAAGAAAGGCGAAACCTTTGAACCCTTTCAATACAAAACCCAAGGCGAGCCACTGTTTACTGTATGATATAGTCATATAAAACAGTTTTCATGGTAACAAACACTGGCTTCCAATAGTTTCTTCCGTCCAACTGGTTTATATACCCATATCAACATCCCAGCGATTCTTTTTGCCAGGTTAAGGATTAGATAAGTCATGACTAACTAAGGCTGGACACCAATCAGAGGGGGTAGGCCTCGACATCTTCCCAGGATGGTTTAAGGGGCTTGCGATACTCTGACAACAAAGCGACTAGGCACCTCACGCAAATCCCCCGCAATTTACGCGATGCCGATGATTGCGTATCGAAAAAGATCGGGATCAGCATACTCATTATATATTGATAGCCCAAGTTCGCCAGTATTCAACGTAGATGGATGAACCATAGCAATCGGCGCCAGATGACGGTGGGCAAGATCTCCTCCCGACCACGAAGCGCACAGCCTTTGAAGAACCACGTACGGCTCATGGCGCGAAAAGAATTAAACACATGTGTGATGCCCCTGATGGTACAACCCCAGCTCTTAAGCCTCCAGCTACAATCCCTAGGGTAGCTTTCCCCGAGAAGGTATGCTACAATCTGTACCCAGCCAACTGTTAGGAAATCTTCTAACTCCTCCACGCCGGAGTAAAGCCGGCGGTTATAGAAGAGCGAAACGGCGAGCTCGAATTCCAAGTGGTCAACAATGACGGTTCCCAAGAGAGTACGATCATTCTCACAGGACTCAAATGCCTGTTTCAGAAGCAACTCCTTAAAATTCTGAAGGATTATATTGCCCGCCTTGTGTATGACCGCACCCATCAATCTTTGGCCATTGTGAAAAGGCCCCTGGAGGTCATTGGTGGGATATCATTTCGAGAATCCCGAGAACTCATGTTCGCCGAAATTGTGCTTTGCGCGGCCTCATCTAATCAGCAAGTAAAAGGCTATGGTGGACATCTTATGGCTCATGTCAAGGACTATGTCAAGGCTACTTCCCCCGTGATGCACTTTCTTCCTTATGCTGATAATTACGCCACTGGCTATTTTCAAAAACAAGGCTTTACCAAAGAGATCAGCCTCGACAAGTCGATCTGGATGGGGTATATCAAAGATTATGAAAGAGGGACCCTGATGCAATGTTCCATGCTTCCCCGAATACGATATCTTGAAGTTGGTCGTATGTTGCTAAAACACAAGGCAGCCGTCCGAGCCAAAATGCAACTCTTAAGCAAAAGCCACATAGTCCATCCACCACCCCATCAATGGACCCCTGGTGTTACTCCAACTGATCGACTATCCATCCCCGGCATTCGGCAAACTGGCTGGTCTCCAGAAATGGATGCAGTAGCGCGAGAACCACGGCATGGAGCCCATTTTAATGAACTTCGACGGTTTCTGAACCAAATCCAAAACCATAAACAAGCGTGGCCTTTCCTTAATCCGGTGAACAGAGATGAAGTTCCGGATTATTACAATGTGATCACATCACCAATGGATCTGTCGACCATGGAAGAGACATTGAAGAATGATTCTTATACCACTCCGAAAGAACTCGTCGGGGATCTACAGTTGATCTTTGGTAATTGTCGGCAGTATAATGATGCAACAACAGTGTATGCTAAGTGCGCGGTTAGGTTGGAGAAGTTCATGTGGAGCCTCATCAAGGATATTCTGGAGTGGTATGAACTACTTGAAAAATAATTGGTCAAGTCAACATATGTTCGCCGTAAGTAGCTATTCGTTTAGCAGCAATCTATGTGCACAATCTGTCTGCTCTCCAGCTAGATAGATCTCCGGCATTTTGCCTCCAAGTCCCTACAGGACTAGGCCAAGGACTGATCGGGCTATGCTTGAATCTGGTCAAGGAAGGGTCACATGATTAGATACATGAAACAGGTAGTGCTCCAGAACATTGCCTTGTTTGGAATGACTGGCCATTGCGCCCGAAAACGGTCCCTCGGATAGAAGTGAGCTTTTACGAAGCCCAACAAGATCTTCTAGCTCGGGACCATATACCATAACTGGTGCATTCCTGTCTTTGACCAGAGTTCAAACCCTATCCTATTTGTTACTCTATACCATTTGAGGTATGACGGTATGAACCGAAGATTAGTGGAATGTTCTGCAACACCATCAGCAATGAGGTAGAGTTCGTTGGACTGATTTTCGATCAACACGAGTCGCTAGAGGGCCTTCACCTGTCAATCCGAGGATTGGGTTCTGGGATCTACAACAATACGAGGATTATCCACTTTTCACGGCACAGTCTGCCCACCTTGTCCACTTGGCAGACACATTCTTCCCGTATAAACATGAGATGCCAAGGATCTAACGAGCGAGCAGAAGCATATACGAGGAAATGATGGGCATCATGGACACTCGGTATGCTATAAATACTCGGATGATTGCCATTCGAAACTACTCCGCTAGTATCACTGGTCCTCTCAACAACCCCTTCCCTTTCACCTAACATGGCTTCCCATATCGAGATTCACAGGGCAGTTCGCTCGCCCGTGACTTTCTTCGTTATGCTGTCGTATCTCATGATGATCCCAGGTGTCTTGGCGATGAACTTTGTGTCCCGTGAAGAATGGAAGGCACGCGCGCCAAAGGAAGCCTATAAACCAATGACGGATGCCAAGGGTGTGAAGGTACACTATCTGGGGCCCAGTTCAGTGGAAAGCAGCACTCAGAGTGCGACGACTTCATGAGATCTGTACAAAACGAACACATGGACGAATCGCCTGAAGATTACTTTGACATTGCCTACAATCTTGCCGTGTGTGAACATGGCTATGTCTTTGATGGCCGTGGAAAAGGCCATCGCAGCGGTGCCAATGGAAATGTCCAGCTGAACTCGGATCATTATGCTGTGCTCGCCTTTCTCGGAAAGCAAGGTGTCACGGAGCCTAGCGATGCGCAGATTACTGGGCTGCAAGATTCGATCGCGTATCTTCGTCGCGCGGGCGCTGGTGATGAGATTAAGGGTCACCGAGATGGTTACAATACCGAATGTCCCGGTGGCCCGCTGTACAAACTGGTCACTGATGGTAGCCTGGACCCTGGTAAACTATGGGACGGAGGGTCTCATACAGTACGGAAGGGAGAGGATCTGGATACTATAAGCTCCAAGTACAATGTACCGAAGCAGTATATAATTGCTGCGAATGATCTTCAGCCACCCTATCGTCTTACTGTCAATCAGACGATAGAGGTTCCTGCTCGTGGAGTGCCGCTTGCTGAGAGTGGTAACTGATAGTCGGGTGCGTCTTGTCGCATAGGTCGTTGGATTCTGGTTCCCTATCTACCTATTATGGCAGCCGTCATGTCGGATATAAATGCGATTGCTATGTGGCTTTGCGAATATCAAGCCACAGCTACCTAATTACTGACTTGATGGATTGCACAATGGGATGGTTCCGTGGAGGATGCTCTGGGTATGCGGTACATGATGATCATGAAAGCCAATGTCGCGTCTGCACATACATTATATCACGAAAGAGATTTTCTAGTTCATCTTGGCAGTGTAGTTAGTTATGATCAAGTTACATTTGGGTGTTGACCACCATTTATGTCCCTCCGTTACGTAGTCTGTTATGCGGCACGTCAAATCAGGAGTACTTGTGAATTATCCTCCCATTCCTCTAGAACAAGACATTGCAGAGGTGTGTGAAAGCATAACTTCACAAACGGGACACATTCTAGGGCTATTCGCACTGGTTATTTTGATAAACTTGGGAACGTACGTATTAGTGAGAATAGATGTCCAATTCAAATTTATTAACTCGTCACTTCACTTAGATGTCGTGGTCCGATGCAAAACGGCAGGGCAGGGTACTCTAAACTGAGCCAGGACCCGTCCATTGAGACTTTAGGCAATATTGAAACGTCTTGTAATGTAAATGCTTGATTGGTCAGCTTTACGGACTTCGGGATTGAATATTTTGTACCACTTCGCTGAACAGCCTCGCTTATTGATTACGTTCCATTCGAGTGCGAACCCTGTGTGCACCTGTGGATTCACCTAGGGACTGCTTATTTGAGTCTCTCATTCGCTATATAAAGCCTGCAACTGTTTGAATTGAGTTACCGCTGTCCCCAACACCATCTGACCCTTGCAGCTCTACAAGTTATTGTCTGGAAATCAGATTTGGTTAGAAAGGAGATAATAGGGGAAGATTGGTGCATAATAACAGGGATAGCCCTTTTCTAGCCCTCTACACCGCGTGGGTGCGCCCCTCAAGTGCCAGTCCAAGGTAAGGGCAACGTATCAGGTGCTCTATGATGCGGCACATCACTTCAGCAAGTAGAATATACTCCGATGTCTCTCCGTGTTGTAAATCCAACTGGAATGGTAGACACCCGAGTTATAGTGGAAAAGGTTCTATGCGGGGCTGATCGGTTGGTTGTGTGACAACCGAGTAAGCCAAATTCCACCTTTCATAAGCCTCAACGTGTTGGATTATACATGGCAATCTCAACAGGCCTTCACGTCCTGGTCGTGAGAAAGACTTTCGTCTCATCATTACCTATTCTTGATAACCACTGGATGTAGTGGCTCAGTACACGACAGACACTGGGCTCATAGTGCGTCGTCAACCGTGCTTTCTCACAAGATGCGCAGCATATATAAGGATCGGTGGCATCCCGCATTTGTCCTTATCTCTGGAGTACAAGCAATGACCCTGTTCACGCCTCGAGCGACGGAACCTATCGGCATCGACCTGGCCCCACCGTTTCCCACCGTTACTGCACTTGTCAGCCATGGTTTTGGACATCTTGAGAAAACCCGATTTGCACCTGCAAGCGACTGCGGTTACTGGGGTGATAGAGGTGAGTAGGAGAGTTGAGGTAGAATCCGCCTCTCGCATAATGTATACTGACAATGATTTCTGATATAGGGACATACACATGTGACAATAACTACGCTTGCCGATTCCATTCATCGCATGCCGAATACCCGGGGATGGTGGGCTGCTGTCCCAAGGACCCTCTTGGATTATGCGATGGATTCTATAGCACTTGCTACGGCCGCCAGGAGATATCCAAAACTCCGTCCTTGCTGTCGTCAACTGATGATCTCTTTGCTATATTCTGCACCGAGGATGTCTGGTCATACTGCTTGCCCAGGACCTGGCCTGAGATAGGCGTTTCCGCATTCGAATGTACAAATTTCACTCTCGGGGCAACGGCTACAGTACACACCATCTCCACGTACACAGATGCCTCAGTCCTTGGTATAACCGTTGTTTCTGCCGTATCAATCCCATGGATCAAGGATCACGAAATGATCATGCGTCTAAATTTCAACCCTACAAAAGCCGCAACAACCCATTCGTCTCGATCAACTGTCATAAACATGGCGGGCCCCTCTTCAGGGCCCTCTCTGATCCTGGTGGGTGCAGTAGTGGGGAGTGTTGTCGGGGGTTTTGTGGCGCTTTCTACTATGGTGATCATTCTCTGGATACTACGAAAGAGAAAGATATCCAAGAATAACTTGTTCTTGAGCCAACAGTCATCAGAACAGTGTGTATCTGTCCGCTCAGGCTCAGAAAACCAAGCTTCTCCTCCTGCAGAACGAAAGAAAGCCCAGCGCGCTTGATGGCAATTCGGTGCCTCGAGTACGCCAGGCTTAGACATTATGCTCGTGGTATCGACCAACACGATCGCCTGCGTTCACCTGTAGTATCTGAAATATCCGCCGAGGGGTTCAACGGTTGCGAGGAGTTACCTATGACTGGCAGTTTTCACCTGTTGTGAATATTGGAATGCCATCCATGTAGGTAACTGGCTTCTAGCTGTCAATACTAGTGGTAGTTATAGGAGGTCCTTGTAATTCATACCAGCGTGAATTTGTGGCAGTTTCAAAAAAGAATAGTGCTGGATCATGATATACTTTATGTAGTATCGGCTTTCCCACTGATTAAGAAATCGAATTGGGCTACGCAGCAGATTCTGGAAATATTCTATGACTATGAGTCAAGTGTCCTTTGACCACAACAGTAACAAGGACAAGTAATCCTTAGCTGACTGACATATCTGGGAAATACAAAACGCGTTGCGGATGTTAAACTACCATGGTAAAGTGGCTTGGGCATCTTTCACACTAACAGTAATTGGCTTGCGATGGGTTCCATGAAGCATCTACCAAGATGTCAATCTCATAGAGGGATAGTCTCACGTGTATATCCCTACAGCAGTGGATGCTCAAGCGCCAGCTTCCCAAATCCCCGTGTACCATCAGCCATCACCTGCAGTTCCTCCAGCGCAGTTTCCGCTGTCCCACTAACCACATCGACAGATGGGAATTCGAATTCCGCACCGTAGTTTGCAACCGCCCATTGTAGAGCCTGCCATGCACGCACATAATCAGAAGGTCGAGCTGGAATCGTAATGGGCCGAGGAGCCCCCTGAACCCGGATAGTAACGTCACGGTTCGGCGTAGCGAAGGGCATCTTGAACCGAGGGTCATGCTGAATTACAACAGAGACAAGATTGGCCTGGTCTGAAACACAATCCGACATAAGCTTTGCTGAGCCTGTTTCTCCGTAACTCCCAACCGTGTCGAAAGCATAGCTGACGGAATCCCATTGTCCTTCTTCTAATGCAAATTTGATCTGCGAAGAGACGTCCGGGGATCTATAGTCAAAACACTTTGTTGCGCCGAGCTCCAGCAGAAGTGAGTGTCTTTTTGGGGACGCGGTGACGAAGATCGGATGGATCCCGCTTGCCCTGGCGAACTGCACTGCACAGAGACCGACACTGCTTGATGCGCCCCAGATCAACAATGGTCTACTTGCTTTCTCTGTGTTTTGAGTGTCTGGTAGAGGAAGCTCGAAAAGGTTGTACAGTGTATCAGCAGCTGTCATGGCCACGACGCTGAGGCATGCCGCATGTTGCGGTGGAAGGTTTGCCGGCACATGAAATGCCATTTCTTCTGGGCAGACTAGGTATCTCTGATGGGTCCCATAGCGTGCTGGCCTATTGAGGCCGGTAGGAGTATACCCGGCAACAGTGTCACCAGGGCTAAAGGAAGACTGAGGCGGTGCCTGCAGAACTTTCCCACAGAAGTCGTAGCCCAGCACGGCCGGGTAAATTCCCAGGAGAGTGGCATGTTTGACATCAGCCGGGTTTGCCCCCGAGAACTGTGTCTCGATCAAGAGCTCTCCATCTCCCGGCACTGGAAATTCTAAACCTCGCCGAACTCGGAAGATGGCTTGTTCGTCGGCATATAAACCGGTATTCGTGTTGGTCTGGCTCATGATTGGTAATGCCGGGCAGGAAGAAGACAGATGACAGAAATAGCCTTATGGAAGAGGGAAAGACAAGATCGACGGCGCTTCTGGTCATATATAGACCATGTATTACGGAGTAAGTTCGTAGTAAGTGCGGAGCATCGCGGAGATTTGGCGTGGACTTCAATTTATCCATCCTTACGGAATCTACAATCACTTCCGATTCCGCTTAATAACCTACTTTATCCCCACAATAGTTATTGTGGGGGCTGTTATGCAATACGTACTCCGGAGTAGACCAACCTCAGGCAGTCTTGCTCCCATGTATATATACCGATTACATATGGTCCAGCATAGTTACACAGTTGCTCCTAGCTCACTGCTTCTAATTGTTCACTTGGAGTTTGTCAAACCGCTCCTTAAGAGACTACCGCCATTATGTCCGTGGAAGAAAAGCTCCGAACTCAATTTCCAGACACAGTCTACACGGCATTAGCACCACCAGACCGTCATCCTGGATTCAACTACAAGGGCTTCCATCCAGGCCGTGTTACTCGACTTCCAAGGGGCCATGTAAAGGAGCCTGGATATCAGGCATTCCCAGTGGATGTGACCTGGGAAGAAGACCAAGCAATTGTCATGCGCGACGGCGTCAAGCTCTATGCAGATGTATTTCGCCCCACTGACGAAACTGAGAAGGTACCTGCAATCCTACCCTGGAGTCCATATGGGAAGGTCGGGACTAGTACTACAAACTACGATAATATGGGGCCATGGCGAATTGGTATTCCATACCAGAATCTGAGCGGGTACGAGACTTTTGAAGTGAGTTATCGCCAGGCCTCGTCGACCCCAGTTAGAAATAACAACAGCAACAATTGACTGTGTGAAGGGTCCCAACCCAGCAGAATGGTGTCCCAGGGGCTATGCAATTGTAGATGTCGACGCCAGAGGGGCGGGTCATTCGGAGGGTAACCTTATGTTCTGGGGCGAACAGGTAGGTCCAAGATGTTATGAGAAGGGTAGATGCAACTGCTAATCGGTCAACTAGGAAGCGGTTGATATCTATGATACGATCAGCTGGATAGCCCAGCAGCCATGGTGTAGCGGATCAGTAGTTATGGCGTATGTATTATGGTGTATACCACTCTGGGAATTATCTGACCGTTTGAAAGGGGAAACTCATGGTTGGCTATTTCACAGCTCAACTTTGCGTCGCGTTTCCAGCACCCAAATCTGAAGGCGATTGCCCCATGGGAGGGATTAACGGACCTCTATGGTCATCAGATATGCCGCGGAGGTATCCCGAAACCTGCGTTTGGTGAATTGATCCTCCGTGGGCTTGCAGGTGCGTTATACCCATCAGCCTCAGAATCCCCGCCAAAATGTGATATATGCCGTAGATTTCTAAATATTTTCTTCAGGGTATGGAAAGGCAGAGAATATCGGCGCCATGGTCAAGTCCCACCCATTGTTTGACGCATACTGGTAGGAAAAGCGAATCAAACCGGAAGATATCAAGGACATTCCGATGTATCTTACAGCCTCCTACTCGACTGGTCTTCACTGCGATGGCTCCATCAGAGCGTTTGAAACAGCAATGACGTCTAAGAAATGGCTACGTGTGCATTCCACGCAAGAGTGGCATGACCTATACAGACCAGAAGCTACAGACGACCTGCAGCGCTTCTACGATTACTACGCTAAAGGTATCCAAAACGGCTGGGAGGCAGAAACGCCCCGTGTGCGACTGAGCCTATTGGGGTACGATGGTAGTATGGCGAAAACAATTGTCGAGCGCCCTGAAGAGCAGTGGCCTCCAGCACGGCAGCACATCCGTCGCTACTATCTGGATGCTTCAACTCAATCTTTAGGAACAGTCAAGCCTGTGAATTCTACCAGCATTGCGCATGAAGGGCGTTCATTGATTGCTTCCTCGGTATGTCTCCTAGGAAACATTCAGCATTTTCCATTTATTAATTACGTTATGATTCAGGATTTCAGGCTCTTCTTCGACAAATATACCGAGCTATGCGGACGTCCCTTTGTGAAGCTATACATGTCTTGCAATGTGAAGGATGACTTTGATGTTGTGGTGCAGATACGCAAGATCTCTTCGTCGGGAGAGCCTCTTGAGTCTCTGAACTGGTCACCGATGCCCGCACCACGGCCGAAGGTCCCAAATGTCAATGTCGCAAAGCATCTAGGGCAGCAGGGTATGCTCCGAGCTTCACACCGCGTGAGCCTACAGCCCCGAGCCAGCGAAGATGAGGTTCCTGTGTATGACCATCGCAGCAGCCAACCGATCGCTCCTGGAGAGATTGTTCCTCTTCTGATCCCAATATGGCCCCTGGGAATGGTTTTCGAGGCCGGTGAAGGTTTGATCCTGCGAGTTTCCGGTCATGATATGTCACTCCCGGAAACAGAATCGTTGAGGCTAACAGCCCCAATCGATGATAATGAAGGGCAGCATACCGTGTACACGGGTGGAGAGTATGAGAGCCATCTGGTACTTCCTGTGATCAGCGAATAGGTATGGTTGGGGATGGATAGTATGCTAAGGAGTAGCGGATCCTATGATTTAAGTCTTGAAATTGATGGCCGCGTTTGTACTATCTCCTGGACCTTTATGAGGAAATAAGCTCACCGATGCAAATCATCTGAAGGGATGGTGGCAAAGAATGTTTCCAAGGAAGTCAACAGTCCCGATAATGGGATGAAGTTTCAGATTTAGAGTAACTGCCTGTAGGAACTATCATAGAAACTCTCAAGCGTGTCATCTGATCCAAGGGAGCTGTACGATTCCGGTGATATACTGAAGGCAATAACTATCGCTCGAGAGAAAGCCTTTTACGGGTATGACTTAATGGTAGAGTATTGAGTACAGATATGCCTATATACGACGGCAGTTGCTGCAGAGGCTCCCACTCTTTAAGTTGCCTTTCGCAGTGAGGTAGCTATTTATATGTTGTGATTGGGGTTATCATTAGGGTTGGATGGTGGTTGTTTTAGGGAGGATGATTGTGGATGTTCTGAAACAGCTGGCTATAAATTGATACTGAATTCAATGGCCCCGTTCCGTTCATGATGCTCCAATCCTACCTAATAACCTATCGACCGAGCCGGTAATCGCGCATCAGGTGGGCAGTGGCACAGAATAGGGCGTTTGAGATACACTGGCGGACCCTGCTTACTAGTGAGGCAAGCTGCCTGCGCATCATCCGCCCCTAAACGCTTGATCGGGTTATCTGTATCACACTCCTTATCCTAATGATCTCCTCCATCCGATACAGTATATTCCCCTCGCCTTGTTCCAAGCCTACATAGCCCATCACTAGTGGGGAAGTTCCAGTCACTCTTCCCTTCAATAACTCCAATGCTGTGAATGATTGAATGCGAATTAAATACAAGTTCATATCCAGAGTCTCACTTAGTCCAACACAGTAACATTCTTCCCAGGCTGTGTGCAGTTCGTCAAGATGTTAATCGGCGGAAACGTTCCCCCAGGAGTAAAGGCCAAACTGCTATAGTTGTAAGTTGGGCTCAACATCATAATCTGACCGACTGTGGTACCAAACTCCTCCGCCAAGTCCTTATATACGCCCCAGCTAAAGCTGTACGGCCTGATCACACATGTGGTATTCTCACAAAGCGGCACTTTGATGAACCGCCCAACAGGCAACTCATCCGTCGGCTTCGTCCCACCCACCGTCCCCATATCGCCCACCAACGCGTCGACGGTGATATTAAGCCGCAGCGCGACTTTCTCGTACGTATCCCCGTTGACGGTGTAGTATAGGCGAGGCCCACCGACGATGCAGGTATTCGTTGCGTTCCCAGATAGCAGGCAGGAGGTGTTGTCGGGGTAACATACTTCCCCGGGTATAATGAATGTCTCGCCGACGTTGGGGCGGATGGTGACGTCGGCCATGAGGTTCTGGCGGCCGATGTCGCAGACGCCACGCTTTGTGATGCGAGCGACGTCAAAGACGGTCGTGTTGGCGTCGGTGATAGGGTAGTAGTAGGTTGTAGTGTTGAGGATCGTGGGGTCGCAGGTGGCACTAGCGGAGGCGACGAGGGTGATGGAGGTAGCCATGGCTGCGAGTGTGAAAGAGGATTTCATGATGGCGGTTTGCGGAGAACAAGTACAATAGTGAATGGCCCAGGCTGGAATAGGGTAGGACATAATGTGCTGTATTGCGGTTTATAAACGCTGAGGGACATCTGCCTAGTTAGTATCAGCAACAGCAGTTCCAAAGTTGTTCCTGAGCGTACGTACACATAGTAAATGTCCTACGCAATCGCATGCAACACTGCCTGGACCGTGGTGGCCTGAAGATACAGCACTGAGTCAATCATAGTTGGCCATTGGGCAATGCCTATGCCGTGATTACGAAGCCTGAATGTAAGAGGGAGATCGGATAGATCGACGCCCTGTCGATCCCTCTACCACAACCGTGATTAATCTGCGTGGGACCTCGCAAACTCCCCACCTTTTGGGAATGGTCACCGCCGATCATTTGTTCAATATGAGGTTCTGGAGCCATTCTCCAGGCCCTTGCGAACCGTCTGTCGCTTCTGTAACGAGTTGGCGCAGATTCTGTGCCGCCATATGTCAACATAACCGGCGCATTATAATGTGCAAAGCTTTATGGCCGATGGTGCTACCCACAGTATGTACACCGGATCGTCGTGTGGGTTTAGTCTCTCTCAGTATCAGCCCATTGCAACGACACCTGCAGCTATGCTCTCTCTCTTTGTTTCACCCTGCTGGTGCTGGCCATCGGCGCGTCTGCTGCATATACAGCATGCTCATACACAGCAGATGGGAATTGGCCTCAATACTCGAGTACAGAATAGTATTCATTGATAACTGCTAAACTACCATTAGTAAGGAGAGGCAGGTGTAAAAGGCATCATAGGCATGCCAAATCGCTTATATATAAAGTTATTCAGAAGGCTTTGTTCGATTTAAATGTTCATTTCCGAGCAGTTGCCAGTTCTAGGGCCGTCTATAGAGGGGAATTATAAAATAAATTGCTTACAAATAAATTAAGTAGTCTTCGAAATATCTGGTGTATTACTTGGACATGGAAAAATATATTTTCTTGTCGTTGTGTTATGAGTTACATGGGCTCCACTTCGAAATTCGAGTTAAAAATCTACAAACCCTTTGAATCTCACACATTTGCAGTTTCTACTATATCTCTGATGGATTCGAACTACTTATATATGTATTTATATTATCCCTGCAATATTTTGGTGTGTTCTGCCAAATACGTGAGGGGAGCTAATGAGTCACACTTCCCTGTAGGTAGCCAACATTTCCAGGCAGCCGTGGCCGTTTGCCTAAAAGATGCCTAAAGAACCAGCCCTATATCTTCCATTCGTGTCTCTATTTGGGTAACTGATTCATTCTCTGTTTTTTTATCACACAGCAGGGCGACAGTTCTTCAACAGGTAGTGACAATGACGAAACGCTCACTCAGCCCTGACCCAGCGTCCACAACACGTCGCATCAAGCCCACCTCCATCGAAGGGAGACCGTTCAAAATTATTAACCTCAATGATGGTGACCTAGTGCACCAAACTTGTGTTGCGGTCCATGGCGAGTGCCAGGAGTTTGGATATGCCGCGGATACCAATTTCGTGTCTGTCTCATCTTCTAACATGCTCAACCAGGCACAGACAGTCAACCACTGGCCGTTGAACAAAGGGCATTGGAAGGCGCTTGTGATGCTTGCACCGGGGACCAATACCCTCGTCTTCAAGCTGCATCATGCCGGCGGAATCTCTGCTTCCTTGGAGATCACAGTAACCTATATCCCTCTGCTACAACTCCCCCCCCTCCATCTCGCGATGCTTGTTGCGAAGGATTCGCCGCTGCTCATCGATTGCCCACCAGCCAAGTATGGGGGCATCTCAACGGCCCACAGCACCATCGATGCGGCCATTGCTAAGCTCCGGATGTCGGCATATATGTGGCAGGCTCTTACAGCCGAGGACTTCCGTCAAAAGGGATTGGGGAGACGCTCATTTCGCCTGGAGGAGGAGTGGTCCGCCAACACGACCATACAAATGGGGCATCGAGCGACCCCTGGCACCAGTACGCATATGGGAGCTGTTCCAAAAGTCCACATTATCCGGTCGGATAAGACGGTCGCAGAGCTCAGGGATGCCAATGTGGCCCAACAGAATCCTCGAGGGCGGGATCGAGACGCCTTGCATGGATACTTCGAGGCGGCCCTTGCTAAGTCAGGGCCCCCGTTCGAGTCAAGCTGCCGTCCAGTAGTGGCCGGCTTGATTCTGGACGCGCATTACTCTACGGAACAATCCATGATCATGGGCCATGCCGCGCTGGGTTGCCACAAACCCGATGGCATCTCCTTGGGCATCTTTGGTAGTCATCTCACCTACTCTTGGCCACGTTTCCTCGAAGAAGTTCCTTCCTGTCTGACAGATACGACACCCACGGGTGACACCGTCGGCAATGACAACGGTGAATGCGACACCATGCGCGGCGCCTGTTTTGTCGGCCAAGGGGCCTTCCTGCACGAGGTGGGCCATGCCTTCGGCGCCGGACATACCACGGGGATCATGGCGAGAGGGTACAGCCAAACATGGGGGATGAATTTCGTCGCGCACGAGACAAATGGCGCGGCAGAAAACGATGCCAAATGGGATCTGCAAGATGCGCTGAAGTTCAAGTTGCTGCCGCACTTTGCACTTCCTGGTGATGAACCCATGTCAAAGGACCTTCGCGTTGCCAGCGTCAGATTTGATGTTGACTTCGGCTTGAACGACGAAGCTGTTATGGTGATGGAGGGGGAACAACCCAAGGAGGGCCTCAAGGTATCCTGTATGGCAGGCCTTGCGCAAGTGAAATTTGAGAATGGGCCAAACGATCCTGTCATCCATGATTTTATAGGTGATGCTTATCAGAAGAGTGCTTGCACACTACTTACCATTGACAATGTTCGATCAGAGTTCGATCAGAACCAACCGGTGAAAATCACTGCCATCGGTATGAATGGTAAGGTGGGCGTCGTCAAGGACCTATGGGAGATGCTCAAGGAGAGACCCTATATCACCATCCCGGGCAGCAATGTGACTCTTCGCAAACAATCCGTTCGGTCTGCGGATCTTAATGCAAGCAATCATGACGATGAGTTTATCAAGTGGGCCATGCTCCTTCACCGACGCGGCCAAGATGGCCAGCTGCATCGTGCGACATCGATCGACCTTCGGGTGGGATGCACTATGGATGGGGCAGTCGTTTACTACGCTGATGGGTCGCAGGCGAATTGCGGTCCCAGCCATCCTCATCAGTTTGGTGGACACGCATCAGAAATCCATGATATCCCCGCCGGGGAGACCATCACCAAGGTTAAGATATGTCGGAATGATGACGGATGGAGGAGCTTGGCAGGCATCCGTATGACTCTGAGCAATGGAGATGAATGGGGCCATCTCAACCACTATGAAAGCGACAGTGAAGACGATGAGGACGATGAGTCGGTCGTCACTCTCGAACCAGCCGAAGATGAGGTCGTTGTCGGCTTTTACGGCCAGAGTGACTCGGCTAATGGATATACATTTGAGTTCGGAATTTTGACGGCCCCCCTGGGAGTGGATCTGCCAGCTAATATCTATGATTTGCCTGAATTCAGGAATAAATAATGGGATCATTACGGTAGAATGGATCTAACGGAATCTGCTCCTCTTGGTTCGATTGATGAACGAAATATGGATCAAGAGGACTCACTAGACATACAGTCGTGCGACCTACACATGTCAAGGTTTACGGAAAATGGTGGTTTAGAGCACAAATGTACTATATCAGGACTACAACGGCTACATAAATTCAATCAAAAGAATGTATAATTACTGATCAGCATGCTGTATGAAGCTAACGGAGAACACTTGCATCATTCCTTTTATCTTGCGATTTGCCAATCAGAAGTGCGAAGACAAATGTTATGCACAACAGACAGCCATACTTTTTAGCCACGGCGGCTCGCCAGATACGGCGCGACTCTAGGCCGGGCTTCGAACGCTGCTCTAAGCCTAGTGAGAGGCTCCGGCAGAGACGCCTTGCAATTCCCCACAAGTAAGTGATGAGGGCGTGTAAGTTTCGGTAGGGAGGGAACTTACCGGCAATGTTCCAATCTGTGAATCGTTGTCGATAGACTGGTAGACGACAAAGTCCGTATAAGTGATCCTCTCACCCAGGAGATAAGGTCCCTCCTTCTGAGCATAAAACGTAGCTAAGACGTTGTAATAGTTCGGGACATACTCGTTCTTAAATTTGTCCGTGACGTTGCCAAGGTTGTTCACCCATTGGACCTAACACACCTGTTAGCTGGACTGAGGAATTGGTACATACGTTAGTAGACATGTTCACGATGACATGCTTACTCGCCAGTCAGTATACACATCAGCAACTGCATCTAGAAGATACTTCTCCAGGCTCGTATTTCCGTCATATTCGCCCAGCTCTCTAGCTAGGTACCTCAGGATTGGTAGATGCTGTCAAATTATTAGCAGGATTCCGACTCTATATACAGTAGAATTACCTGTGTGAGGATTTGTCCTTCATACTCAAGGACCGGTACCTTGCCAGTCACTGATAACCCTTTCTGCTTGAGTTCTGCGCTGGCCGTTGGCCAAGTATCGTCATACGGATATCGGACATCATTGAACTCCACTCCCGCGTCGTGCAAGAACAGTCTAATCGATCATCTTGTAAGCGAACACTGCTCTTCTTTCTCCAGAACGGTTGCTCTCACCGGACAATCTCTCCACGGCCCAGGCTACCGATATCGAGGTAATGGAGCGTAGGTTTCGCGGATGGCAGCGCCATTTCTATTTTGTCTTCAAATTTTCAAACTAATTGCTTATAATCAAGATAAAGTTACTGGCGATAAGTATTTTTAGTTCGGTGCAGTGCTTTACAACAAGGAACAGAAAGGCAGAAGAAAGGTGGCATGTCTTACCAATGCGGGGTATAAAATGTCCACCGTCTGACGCCATTCTGGATATTATTAATGGAAACTCCCTCTAATCCGTTATAGGAAATAGACCTAATACCTGGTTAGTTGTTATAGCAACTTAATAATCCCCATGCTAAAGTTTAACTAGGCTGTACAACAGTCTAGACTCTAGAGGGCGCGCTAGGTAACCGGCCCGCCATGGTACGGATATAAGCATGATTTACTCGAGTATTATTAATGCAAGCTCCGTAGTTAATAGAGATCTTCAATACATCATTAGTTTTACAAAAGGTTGCACAGAGGACCTATATCAAGGATCTATGGCTAGGTCAATCTAGACGATCCAGGTTGTCAGACCCGACGCAGGGTCTCTTGCAGTCGGTTTGGGTATCCGGGCCTCCATCTAAGCACGTTGCTGTCGCTAAGGTTTTACATTATGGCTGCCAAGTTCTTCATAACCTTCTCTGGGGTGCTAAAGGAGTCATCGATGATGTCTCGATTATGTTGGGGTCGGTCAATCAAGCGGTTGGTCTATGCTGGATGTCGATCTCATATTGCCTTCCTTCCCTATGCATCGCAGCGAAGGTCATTAGCCTCGGATCCTTTTAGTGATAGTGATAGAAAAGACCGTGCATAAGCCACATGGCTCGGAGGAAATTGATGAACCTTGAACTAGTGGGTACAGCGAATGCTTGGTTGCTGGCACTTCTCATTAGTAAAGCCATAGCCGACAGCTACCAAGCTTTGTCACAGATTCCGAATCGGAAATTCCCGAAATCATATATCACCATCCTAACACTCAGTGCACCCATCAGATGCTAAACTGGGTCATTGTGAAGCCATCGCAAGAAGAGAAGATCAACTTGGCCGACTTGACGATCGGATTATTCTAGCCTTGTATTTTTCTGGTATCTGTGCTACCCTAAACGTAGGATGATGAGCCACTGCTGCTACCAGGTTAAATCTGAGATATACGATGATCCCGCTAGCGAAGACGCGCACTGCTCTTCAGACATTCCGTAGACCAAGGAAAGGGCAGCAATGGCTGGATTAAGGGCTCGATCGAAGAAGAAATCGAAGATTTTTGACGTAAGGCATCGGCTCTTGGGAAACAGTTTACCAGAAACAGGGTCGAGAAACACCACAATGAAGGCTATTGTTAGATTGTGATAAACGGGAATGTATATAACGCTACCAGTGTTTTGGGCTGGCACGCTGGTGGCAAAGGAGCGATTATGGCCCATGCTGGGGCTGTACATATGGACACCACGGAAGAATTTGAAAGTATCTATGACGATTATGCACGGGATAAACTAAAAGGTCATTGTCAGGGAAAGTTTGTCTTCTTTTGGCCCACATTACTCGAGTTGCTGAGGCTCTACTACAGGGTGTATAATAGAACAGTCTTGGATCGCGAAGAGGACGGGACTTTCGACCTCTTCGTCAAGACGTATTTCCCGATGGAAATCACCCGGGCGGACTATGAACAGTATTTTGGACTGTCTTCGGGAAGGGGAAGAGATCGAAGGCAAGGGTCCATCGGGCGCGATCCACTACCAAAAGGCATGTACATTTGAAAAAGTGTCATTGACAGATTATTGCACGAGCCCTGGGAGACAAAACTGAGAAAACCAAACTTAGAGTAATCGACGGCAGCAAGTCAGGAAACGATGTATTGGTGGAAGGCGAGCTTGAGCATCTATCAAAAATGCACAAGAAGCAGGTTGAGATGGACCAGATGCTATCCCATCCGGGGGAAAGCCGGACTGGCCTTAAAGGACAAGTGAACGAGGATATTATTAAGAGGCATGCTTTTGAACCCTGGAACCGCAGTGTGGCACTTCTCTATAGTCCCCCAACCATGATCCAAAGGCAGTTCTTCCCGCTTTACTGGCCTACGATGAAGATAAGAACTTGTTTGACTTCTGAATCATATCTAATCTTAAGAGATTGAAGACTACATAATACATCGATGTAAAGAAATAAAAACAACCATTATACAAAAATACTTTTCCCATCATAGCAGACGACGAGACCTACCCCATCAAATCCCAGCGGTTGCATATGAATATCTTACTCCTGCCACATTCGATACAGTATAGCGAATAGAACAACCAGTGTAGCCCAGCATGAGGAGCAGGGCCGCCACTATCCAATGCCACCGTTTCAAAAGACATTGAATATATATCCTTTGAGGTAGGCCGGAGGCCATTATTGTATCATCACAACAGCAGGAACCCATCTTTAAGACATGTCGACTTCGAAACCGCCGGGGCCAACAACCCCGGTCTACGCCCGCCGTGTAACAACCCTCCCTCCAAGCACTCTTCGTTACTTTCGAAGTTTGTCGGTGTGTGGGTGCGGTATTGGGCGGGTGTGCGGCATCATTTGTCAAGCCTCTGTTGGACCTAAAGTGAAAGCAAACCCATTATCAGTATGTACGGATATGCGCCATTTCAGAGTACTCACGAGCATGAAAAGGGCGGTCTTTCAGCCAGTACAGAAAAACAACCAGGTCCAGAAAGAAGTTCGCGATTTTCGTGACAAGATTGGCCAGCTCAATAAATATATTAAGGATTTCGTTGGTTGAGCGATCCATAGCTTCAGAGGCTCTCGGCAAGGTAGTAGCCTGTATATGGAGTGTGAATGATGTGGTGGCAATGGATAGAAAGAATATTGGACCAGAGAGCCCTTTATATACGTCTCCCAGGGGTACAGCCTCCCTTAGTCATGGTAGCTCGCTGCCTTGGTGGCTCATCTCGATAGCTGCGATTGGGAATAGCGTACTGGGTGCACTTACTGTTGGTCCACATCTCCAATTTGAAATTCTCGTTTCAGTGTGGTTGAGAGGATCTTTGGGATGGTAGATTTGTGAAAAGTCCCGCCAGACGACACGGATCGGAATGGTGCAAGCGGCGATGGCGAGGCAGTAGGCATCCACAATTCCATAAAAAAAATAACAGATAAAAATGGAAATGGAAATGGAAATGGAAAATCCAGAAACCCAAAGTTGCGGCAGTGTCCAACTCCGGTAGGGATTGTATGGAACAGGGGAATCCGGCTGCTCAGGAGCTGTGCTCAGATCCAGGATGATTTCCACAAGTCGGTGTGCAGCTGCACTGAACAGGAATGGGGAAGGTAGTAATATACCGGTATAGCTCCACTATCTTTCATACATTATAGACGAATAGAAGACGGTGCTGACGATCAAGAGTGATAAGTTGACGGTACCTGGAAGTACATGATCATTGAGACACACATTGCCAACCCGCTCAAAATGAAAGCCTCAGAACTTGTGTGGAGTCAGTAAAGTAAAACAGCCAACTAGATCGTTGAATTAAATTTGCCCGCGACATATTGGGCCAGAGGAGCCGTTCTGATGGAGGCTGAATGCAAGAAGATGTCAGTAAATGGACTGCATAGGGTTTGACCCACCATGTGACCCTTTCCTACAGTATTATTATCATTATTAATATTATTGCCTTGGCTACCAATTCTGCATTTTGGGTTGCCCCATTGTCCATCTGCAGGGGTCGCCATGGACAATGGCGATAAAGGCCTGTCGCACAATGTCGTGGCTTGCTAGGAGCGACGTCTGTCACTCTGCTTTAATGGGCTTTCTTTCGTATTTGACTCTTCTGCTGCCGGGTTAATTTACTCAGATAAAATCAAGCATTTATGATTTATTTTGACTAGTTAGATTGTCTAAAGAAATTGCTTAGCCAGCTTAATCTACTCTGTACAGGGAGTGCTTGAATTGTTTATTACGTCTACTTAGTGCGCTTAGAGAGGCTGACATTAAGCTCTCCACTACTGATAAAGACAGGCCAGGTGAGTGAGTAGATAGTGGGGATCCCGACTCAAAAGTAAAAGGAAATAAATGTGCAAGTGAGTACGATCTACCTTCCTGTCATAATCCACTCAACGTACACGAGATCATCGTTGTCCAAGCCAGTATTTCTTCCAACGTTTATTTGTACTATTGAATCCATAGTGGTTTTCTTGGCCAGCGGGTGAATCCCTAGCATACACACGACCTGCACTCAGTGTCCCCGACCATTGGTTTGTAGTTTAGGAATCATGGCTGGGTTGTCAACTTTTTCGGAGGCACCCGAGTCAGTGGGTGGATTGGCTGAAATTAGCTTTCCGGTACTGAGTGAGAGCCAATCAATCCCTCATCACTGGAATGCCACCGGACTCACAGATGATCTCCTGGGGGGGTAAAAGGTTCCTGGTTCTGCGGCGGGTCCATCTCACATCTGTGGCTGGTATGTACATGGTATGTACATGTCTTGCGCGAAGATGTCAGGTACTGTTGTCCAAATGGACGTCATGCGAAAAGGTCAATATGGGATTAATCAATACCATCGGCCTTGAAGGAGGCTGGGGCCTGAACAGGGTAGATCCTGGACTCGGATGTTAGTCTTCGTCCGAGCTATTGCATCGACTTGACCAATAAAAGCGGTCCTCTCCGCCAACATGACACGCATATTAATCTGCGGTGATTAAAGGGCGGTCAATCATGTTCGATCCTATTAGTTAGGTCCGACAATGGGCTCCACAACACCAAGGTGTGTTGGTGATCAAAATAAAATCGCGGTTGCGCCGCGCGTGCCAATTCCAGGAACGTTCTTGAATATGTCCGTATGCTCAAGCTTCCCACACGTGGGCTATGTATGTACCAGCAGTCCTCTCTTATCCTTGCATCCCATAGGTCCAATTTGGCCACAGAGTAGATACATACGCATCATCACAGACATGTAGAAGCTGGCTTGGCGTCGGCAGCGGTCAGCCTCGTATGACCATACGGTAATCCCTGCGCGTTCTCCAGTTTACGAACTTTAGAGGCTGCCTCTCATCCAATTCCCCAAAATGATGGCCTCTTAAAACGGGTGCCATATTGGGACATGCACATTTATCCGATTATCTCCACGGCAAGCTGGCATTAGGGTCAGATCTGCAGGAACCACGACGAAATGTGGGCCGACTATGGGCTGTCAGATATCTGATCATGGGTGGTTTGACCCTGACCACAAAGTACGCACTTCGGGGTGCGACTCGGCCGTACCTTCGCGGTTCTTCGATGACTTGGGGCTTATTGCGCGAGTCGGGGGCCAGTTTGGTCATCAAGTGGCACTCCGCCGTGGAATACGGCTTCGCAACGGAAGAAAGTCCCTACCGTTCGACAGTACTTTGTTTCCTGTATGATCTACTCGTAACCCGAAGCCTTCGCCCCAAATGCTCCCTTGGCATGCAAAGAACCTAAGCGAAATTGGGACCACCGGTATGGGCCTGCTGCGTTGTTCCTGATCCTGTCATAAACTTTCGTCGCTCCACCGTGACTACCAACAAGTAGGTGGTTCATGGATTGCTCCACTCTCGGCTCCACAAACCGCAAAAATATATAAAATACTAATGGAAGTTTATTTTTATCACATTTATTTTGTCTCTCGTTTCCATTCTCCGAGGTTGTTCTCATCAAAGTATGGGAGAAGGTATTCAACCCTTGTGCAGTAAGCCCCGGGGAAATTAAACCTTCTGCTCCCGATTGCTCGTTCGGACAAAATGGCCATGTTATAGAGCCTATCGATCGTAGTTCCTCCCCACATCCGACCGTGGATACAAACCCACTTCGTTAGCTTCCTCGGTCGCGGTAGTTAAATCAACGCGATGCTTAACTTAATGTCTTCTCTTAACTTTCGATGTTAGGACACGACCATTTAGTAGCCCGTACATTACATAGCCCGACTATCCTACCTGCCGTATCTGTATGGGAGTCCTGAGTACGGTAAATGATAACACCAACAAGGATAGAACTGGAGTAAATTTCATTCCACTGGGGAAGAGACTGACAGCCTCTTGGCCAGAAGAGTTAATTTCCCGGAACGATGGGATCCTGCAGTCCAACTTCGACTTCCAGGACATCTGCAGATCAGAAGATCAAAGAAGAGAAAAGAAAATCCATCAAGTCGGCAACTTCCGCTCGGGAATAATCCATTGAGTCCGAGGATACAGCCAGACACCCGGCGGAGCCGTGCAAAACCATACGAGTTGGGACGTCTAACCCAAGGATGTTCGCTCCTTCATTTCGGTTAGACAGTATCGGGAATATTGCTAGCAAGTTATTTGGTTGTTCTTTGCAGGAGACTATCATCCTCTCGAGGAGGGTTATTGTCGAAGATCCAGATCAGCGTAAACTTGGCCCACCGTTTTTGCACATCCTCCTCGGGGCTGTCTCTCCTGGTGGATGACTCAGATGGCCTGCAGGAACTGCAATCCAGACATACCCAAAGGGGTTATCCCTGCTGTGCTCATACCCTGCAGCCGGTGCTGTGTTGATCCTCTGTCTAAAACCGGTGCTGCGTTTATTCATATCTTATTCGCTATCTGGAAACCACAGGACTGAAAGCCTGGATCAGCATTGGCACTACCATTGTCTAGTATCAAACTGGTGGAAGACGAGAGACAGTATCCGCTCTCCTCGGCTCCGGCGTTCCGTGATTACGCCGCTCCGTTCCTTTTCTTGTCTCCCTTCTTGCTCTTTTGCAAAAAGTGGCTTAGTGCCAACTAGGTAGACTTTTTGACCGCCGAAAAATCTCTTCTTCACATTATCACATTTTTTGGTCACGCGACGGTGATAGTGTGGCCACAGTTACCGCCATGGGCAACCCGGCCTTTACCCTGGCAGGGTCCAGTCTTGAATTAATTTTATTTGCACCCCACAGCGGTGGCCGGGGAAGATCCAGATGAATGATCTCCCGGGTGATGAGTGGTGCTCCATAATCCGTGTTGAGAGGCGGTCTTTGGCTCGAGACCGTTGTTTCAGACCGAGCATCAGAGCGCAATGTTTCCTACTCTGTACGATAGGCAGACATATGCGGACATGGAGTACAATGCAGAAAGTTCGCGGCCTTGGGGAACGACGGATT